GGTCAGGCGAAAAGTTTTAGGCAACCGCGATCGCCCACTGGAGCAGTGGTTTGTGTGCTTTAGCTTAGCGTGAGGTTCCAAAGTTGGCCACAATACTTTGCTGTCTGTTACTATGAGCAGGCGACAAAATCACATTTCCCTGCCTGATCAGTGTCCCGTGCACTAACACTTTCTGTCAAACATTAGCAATCATATTTGTTTGAAATGCTATAGAGGTTGTATGGTTCCCTCATGACACCAAGGTTTCCGATTAATTATATTGTCACTAGCTGATATTCACAAATTCTTCACGTATGTGATAAAAATCAATAGTTTTACCTGCATCTCCTTTGTCAGCCCCTGTTCTCCACTTCGTTCAGTCAGCCTAACACCTGGACCTCCAACAGTCAATCATTCCCTTTTTTCTCTTCCTGGAGCAAACAACTGGTGGCTCGGATTAACGCGGTCATCTCATCAACCGGTCTCACATGTGATATCTCATTGGTGCAATCTGGGCTTACATTTCTGCGCAAATCGACTAACTCGTGTGTTCGAAACCAACGGAAATCAGCTCACATCAGATGAGAAATGTGAATTGCGTTCGTTGTTGCGTATTCTGGAGCAATCCAAGGTCAATGTGGATCGCGGTGTTTACCTAACGGTTGGTCAGCTTCTACTTCGTCATGCACGGGGCTCGGAAAGTACCACCAAAAATCTTCCATCCGATCCGTTGGATGACGCATTGCTTTTGTCTGGTGATCGCGACCCGTTGGCGGATTTGGGGCGTGCGAAGAGGTATCTTGACCTGGCTACGATAGCTCCCATAAGTTGTGAGGACAGTGAAGTGCACCAGATAAGACACAAGGTATGAAGTGTCGTACCTTTTTTCATCGTTTGATCGAAACCTTGAAACGAATTGTACGCTAGTTCTGCTGAGTTCTTTTCACCTAAAAAAACCTACTGTAGTTGTGGCTCACCACTCCAAGTCCCGTGGCTTGGTTTGCGGTGTTTCCACGAATGAACTTTTTGTTCTCGCGACTACTTGGTTTTGCCCTTCTGCTGTTTATTACAACGAAGCGTAGTAAAAAACAATGACGGTCCACTGAATTATTTTAATAACATTCACCATATTTCAACACTTCAGGTTTCAGCCTTAGACGATTGCAATTCCTTTTACGTTATATATTTCGGCTGCATTTCTCATCCCTTATTATGATTCCTGTATAATCAAAGAACCATTAAAATAAACCTAATTGATGCTGAATTGATCATTTGTAAAATTGTAATAAAACCTTAATTTCTTGTTTCAATGGAATTTGTGGCTCAGTCCTACCGAACTCACTATAACGGCTTAACTTGTCTTTCCAGAGCAAATCTCCAACAAGTCCGATGTGCAGTTCAACTAAGAAAAGTGATCAAATTGAGCAAGCAACGCCAGAATCATATGAAGGTCCTCAGAAGGGTGCCCGATCCACTCCAAAGAATCCTCTCGGCCTATGCGCACATACTGACGAGAGACAGGTAGCTTCGAACAAAGTGACTCGCCAGTTTCAAAGTTTTTTCGAGGCAATGGAGGGGTGCAATCTATTTGGTACCACAGTCCCTTGGAATACCCCCGTCGTCCGCCGAAACGCCTCCTCGTCTGTCGACATCACCGTACCAACTGTTGAAGACGTAGAGCTTGAAAGCCTTCCACAGTTCCAGGTACACTGCTTCTCTGCTACTTACTGTCATCCTTTGTGGTTACCCGACAGTTGCCGATTGACCTGTTTACCCCTTAATTCCATCTGCAAAGTTGCTGTTTCTATAAAGCTAACGAATAACAGCACAACCCACCATTGTACCAAGCTCCCTTTTTGCATTAAACTGTTGCTCCAACCCCTGTGTATAAACAGGAGTCTTTTGATACATTTCCCCATATTTAATTTAATCCTTTTTATCGCTGATTTTTTGGCTGAGTTCATATTTATTTTCTACTTCCAGGAATTCCTCATGGCCAGTTTTATGAACAATTGGCAATCTTTGATCAACAGTCTCTGTTGTCAGTTGACTGAAGCAAAAGTCGAAATGTCTCGAAGTCGTCAATTGAACGAGCAGCTGTCCACACAGTTGCAGGAGACCAGCAAGCAGCTATCTGAAACCATGAACAAATTTGTTGAGTTTAAGGCCCAAATGAACGTAATGACCAAGGTCAACAACAGTGGCGATGTAGCCTCCATGACTTCCATTCACGATGCAATAGCTACTCCTATTCGTGAGCTCTCACATGCGATCGCTGAATTGCGTCGCTGGCTTCCCGAGGGCATGGCTGCGGCTGCAACTGCTGCCGTGAACGCACACATGGCCGTTTCCAACCAACCAATACTGCCGCCGGCAGCCGCAGCAATGGCACGAACGGGACCCTTACTAAATAATGCAGATGCTGCTGCTCTGATGCATCTTTACGGTTCCAATCTTCCATTACCGCCGACCTACTTGAATTCAATAAATCCGATTCCATTACAACAGTTGCCCGGACATTGGCGCATGTCTGCAACAGCCGCTGCTCCTGCCACTTTGCAGCCAAAAACTATACCCCCGGGTGAGGTCAGACCTGTACAGAAACCTGGATTTCCGAGTTCATCCGTTCCATGGGCAGATGTTCCTCAGTCAGGAATTCGATTTGGCGATCCGAACACGATTCGTCTGGACTATCCGTTGCCGTCCGGCCCAGGTAAATCCGGTGACCCGAATTTCCCCACAGCCAATTATGGTGAGTTTCTATAACAGGTTATCAAATGTTAGTTTCATGGACACAACGCATATTTAATTCAACAGGTTTTAGTTTCTCAGTTGATTTGGAAATGCCCCAAGCAATGTATACCGTCATCAAGTTTGTATTTGTAATCTTATATCTCCATTGTCGTCTGATACAGTACTGATTTATTCTGCGTTCCAGCTTGCTGACCAGAAAATGGTTTTGTTCATGATGCAGGGCCCATAACGATAATGACCCAATAGATATATCCGTGCGCACACACACGTATATTGTGCAAGATGCACAAGGCCCAGGTTGGGTTTGGCGCCGATCGTGGTTGCACTGATCAAGTCTTCACACTTCATTAGTTACTAGAGCACCGTCATGTTTACCTCGGGTCAGTGGTCGTTGGGTTTTTTTCATTCACCCGGCTTTCGACTCTATCGATAGAACCACACAATGAAACTGTTTGTTTAAAAGTGGGCTACCCCAGAAGTATTTACCAATCCTTAAAGAGTTGTATCGTCATACCTCAGGTCTGGTTAGAGCCTGTGGTCAGCTTTCACCACCCTTTGCTTTGTGCAGTGGAGTGCCACAAAACTGCGGTCTATCCCCATTCGTCTTCAACTTTGGGATATCCTGCAGAATACTTTATCCGGTCTAGCAAACGGTTGAGTAAAACTCCTCCCGTACCAAATTCTTAACTTGAAATATGCGGATGACATCGCTTTTTTGGATGACAACACAAAAACAGTCCGACACGCTTTAAACCATTTGTGCCATCCAAATGCCAAGTGGTTGCACAAAACTGAGAGGAGCCTGAGCTTGCATTCATCCCTCCCGTTGATCAGATTGAAGTAGTCGAGCTGGATTACAGACGGGGGTTGTGCCGGGAAAGAGAGCTCATCACGAATAGCGAAAACTGGAACAACTTTTGCCAGCCTGCGACACGTGTTTCGCCGCCATGACATCACGGTGAGATTGCACCTGGGCGTGGTGTGACTTGTGCACTTCTGTGACCCAACGAGCTAAGCAGAACGGCTTTTGTCAAACCAAAGATCTAATCGTGCATGGAACGTCGAAGTTAGAGGCCAAACTAAGTGCAGTCTGCTGCTCGTCCGGGTTAGTGGGTCCGGCTAGGAAATACTGGACTCCGAAACGTAGATATTGAATTGACAGCTGGAGAGAAGCTGTGCGATTTAGAGTTCACCGACGACATCGTCTGTCTGTTCAAATGTATGGAGGACGCGCAAAACGCACTTGATAGATTAACAAGTGCAGTAGCCACATTCGGTATGTGCTTTGCACCTGCAAAGTGATGCTGCAGGACTGGGTTTCGTCTACTCCCGTTCTGAATCTAAACGGTCAGGATTTAGTTATGGTGGATTATTTTTCAAACTTAGACAGTTGCGTGACCAATGACAGTAGCGCAGCAAAAGAGATAACCGCCCGCATTTCCAAGGCTCGAGCAGCGTAGGCAGGACTGAAATACGTAGACGCGTAGACGCGACGTTCCACTAAAGCTGAAGGTCGTACATATTGTGCCACCGTTCGTTCAGTTCTACTTTATGGTTGTGAGACCTTGAATTTGCGAGTAGAAGATATCCGTCGACTATAAGTTTTCGATTATCGGTGTTTACCCAGTTTAGCCCACGTTGGATGGAGCGAACGGGTTAGTAACGCGGAGGTAAGCCGTCATGTGTTTGGGAGTCTATCGGGGCACATATTGCGTATGCTCAGCCACCGTCTGCCGCACCGCGCTTTATTCGCTGTAGCTAATCCGGGCTGGAGGAAACCATGTGGAGGTCAACAGATGACGTGAGGACGAGGCATGAAGAAATGCACAGAGCCATTAGGTAGAGGTGTCTCGCGNTGTCTCGCGCCTTCCAGGTTGGGGTCCGAAAGACTGTAACTGGTTGGTTGGAGACATTGAAGGATAAGGCAGCGAACCGGCAGCAGGGGCGTTGCTTGTTGTCGTTTCTCATTCGGCCAGAATGGTTGAAACGGTATGTATGCACAGTTCGATTGCGTACTCTGTGTTGATTATAGTGGCTCACCTCCTTCAAAATAGATCCGATCCCTGTCAACCTTTCATATTACCACTAACTTTGT